GGAAATCCGGGGATTAGATCGATTGATACGAGCTAAAATTGATTTTGATTTTGACGTTTTATTTGGCTTTGATTTTTTTTAAAATTAAATTAATGGTAATATAATAATGATTCATCATCATTATTATTATTATTATTATTAATTTAAAATGACAACAAAGTGCCAATCACAAAAAAATTGCTTTGATTAGCATGCAATTTTTACGTTGTGACTTTCATTGGGCGATATCATATTCTATTTTTTGTATCGTCGACGTTACGACAGTAATGGCGCAATCCATTTCACGATCGGATATTGTTTGGGCAACTTTGCGCTTCAATTTCCTTGATTTCCTCGCAATTGCCTCAGAATGTGTGTTGATTTCTTCACACAACTTTAATTGAACAAATTAACAGTCATTTTTAGGTGTTGTTGATGTTTTGAACAACGATGTAGTCGGTTTTGTGATCGGAAGTTGTTTAGACGACGTCGTGCGTTAATTTTGGGTGTTAGTCGTCCTTTTTGATCGATCTCATCGGATTTGACTATAAGGGATTCCCTCTTAGTCGAATTCAATGTTTTGATTGCAACGACACAGTCCGGTTGGCAATTAAAGGCCATTTGACTCTTCAAGTGATGTGCCACATAAATTTGTGTGTCATTTAATTTGTTGATTTTACTCCTTTTTGCGTGTTTTGATGTGTAGAGGTCAACATAACACTCTTGACTTGAGTATGAGCTTGATTAATTAATGGAATTCGTGTTGGAGCTCTAACAAGTTTGAGCCGTCTCATGAGGGTCTTAAGCTAATGAACAGAGTTGGCTTGGCTCAAGTTTGACTTGTTAGCTCAAGAGTTGAGTTAGCTCACAAGTCAGCTTAGCTCACATGTTTTTTTTTTTTTTTTTTTTGGTAGATCTTCAACTTTCTAATGCGTAGCATTATCAATATTCAATTATCTATTATGACTTCGTTTGGAACAATATTCTTACTGATTTTTAAATTAATTTTTTTAGTAAAAAAAAATTTTCAAGAAATTTTCGTACTAAAAAGTTGCTTTAGAAAACAATCATAAAATTATCTTAAACGAAGCCTATAATTCACACAATAATTTTCTTTTGCTTTCTCAATCACTTGACCAAAATAATCGAACAACACCATTTTTAATAGAATAAGAAGTATCCATAAATATTATGAGAAATTAACTCTTAACACGACATAATCGAGAAAAATTATTAACGTAATTGATCCTATGTAGTAGGATGAAGGGTTGTGGTTGTGATTGTTGTTGTTTGTAGTTAATTATTATTTTTTATATAATGTAATATTTCAAATTCTCTCTGTATTATATTTCTATGGGCATAATCACATATGCTCCAAACTAGGCAAATGCTTACCCTAAAAAAAAATCTTAAGAATATGCTAATTCTTAGGAGTTTGTTTACCCTCAATTTATCATTTTGCCCAATTCGCCTCAAAAAATGCCCAACGAATCCCTCTACTTTAAGAAAAATTGTTAGCTGCGGAGTGCGCACTGTCCGCACAAGCACTTGGTATCCAGCGGTACCCAGTATAATCGAGTGCAGGTACTGCTAAGTACCCAATGCTTATGTGGACGGTTCTCCCCGTCCGCACTTCGCACCTAATAATCTCTCCTACTTTAAATGGACTAGCTAATTAATTAAAATAAAAACTTAATTTTTTACTCTTATATACTTTGTTGGTATTATCTTACTTTTTTGTATTTTTCTAAAAAAAAAATACATAATAATAATATTATTATTATTATTATTATTAATTACTTAAAATTTTGTCCATCATATAAAAAGAGGTTGATTTCAACCCTGATTATCTCCCAACAAGTTGAATGCACCTTTTATAAACTTTGAACCACTAAACAGTCTAAACTTGACTATAGTAAATTGAATTTAAAAAAAAAAACCTTATATTTACTATGAAAGACCTCAAAGGCACATGGAATTTGTTAGGGATAGCCATATAATTATCCGTTAAGCAATCATTTTACATTAATAGAAATCTAAAGATTAAGGTTTTATTTGAGATAGTTTTTTAATTATTTTATAGCACAAAAAATTGAAGTCAAAAAATATTGTTAGAAAGTAATAAGAAAGCGATTTCAAACAAAATTTTCGCTACATTTGGGAAAAAAATATTCTGTGCACACCCCGGATTGTGTCCGAATACCAACCAGAATACGTTGTCATTTTTTTGCTCGGTACCGTTGTGAATCGGATGACGTGCTGCATTTTGATTGATCTTCAGACCGTCCGATATCTGCACAGAATAATTTATTGCATTTGGGACAATTTGATGTCATTTTTTGTTGTTTTTAATAAATTTTTATACTAAAAATCTTTCTAAAAAATAGTTCAAAAATTATTCCAAAAGAAACCTAATTGTGACAGCTTTCAATGACTATATTCTTCAACGGGTCAATCAACACTATTATAAATATTTTCGTTGTCAAAATAGAATAATAATGTCTTTAGAAAGTTTTTTTTTTTTTTTTTGTAGCGTGGGATTAAAGGCGGTTGAGTCAATAAACAATAGGGCATGGAGTTTTAAGAGTTACTTTATATGGATACCCACTTTTTATTAACTTTATGCTTATATTATTTTACCTTAGGCTTCGTTTGGGACGACTTTCTTATTGCTTCTTAAAACAATTTTTTAATATAAAAATTAAAAATGTATTAAAAAGTGACTTTAAGAAGCAGTAAGAAAATCGTCCCAAACGAAGCCTTAATCTCCTATTCTTTTCCTCTTCATAAAGAGGAAATAATTGTCTTAACACCTATTCATAATTAATTTTTCTTAGTACTAACATTTCATGACTAAAGAAAATTGTTGTTTGTGTGAAAATTAATTTAATTCATAAAAGGCTAGAAAATTATTGCTAAGATTTAAAAATTGAATCTCATTTATATTAAAATTTTATCTCAAATTTAAAATAAAAAAAAATTCATTTATATTTTGGGGCTATTTGATTTGTTGTGATTTGAGTACACAATAAAATAAATTTGGGGGTTTTAAAATTTTGGAGATTTGGATGGCTGCATTTTAAATGAAATGTATTTTGAAAGTATATTTGAACATTACTCTATAGTTTATTTTTCGTGTATTTGGAATTCGTTTGATTTGAATGAATTATAAATATATAGCTCAGATAAAAGTGATGTTAGCTGGCCATCATCGCTCGCTGCTTTTCGCCCAATGTCGCTACCCATCTTGGCCCTTGTCGTTGCCGCCATAAATGTCCATCATCAATTATTGCCATTTGATAATTTATTTTACATGTTCGGCTTTATTTATTATAGTTTTCTTACATTTGATAAAGCTGTTATAGAGAAAATAATTTTTTAAAATTATTATAGAAAATAGTTTTCTAGTAATTTTTTAACTTGTAAAAAATAAGTAAAATTTATAATAGGGTTATAAAATCTATAATTTTATGTATAAAATAGAAAAAATAATTTTTTTTTAAGATGTTGGACAATTTTGAAAAAAATAATATTCTTAGACTATTATATTATGAATCTTTAAAAATATACAAAATTAAATGAATGGAAATTTTGAACTCATAACATAATAATTGAAAATAAATTTGAGAATTTTAATAAATTATGTTCCAATATAGACGTCACTTTATTAGTTGTGCAATCACAACAACTATTGTAATTTAAAATATTTTAAAATAATCTTAAATTTTTTATACATTAATTTAAGTAGGACATTTATTTTGTTAATTATATAAATGATAGTTTTTATTATTTTATCATAAATTATACAATAAATATTTTCATTATTTTGAATCTATTTATATCTTTAAATCACATAGTATCAATCAGTAACTAGTTTTTAAGTTCAGCATGATTAAAATTAAATTAAAATATTATCCATTTTTTTTTAATGTGAGATAATTAATTCTTAATACAAAATAAATTTCATTAAAAAATGAAGGGATTTTTACATATATAACACTTAAAAGTTTCTTATTTACTCATCTAACACCCAAATTTATCTATTTACGCACATACCACCTAAAACTTATTTGACTTTTTAAAATATCATCTCGTCTTCCTCTCAAAATCCGCTTGATGCCGCACAAATTGTCCACCTGCTCCCTCTCTTTGCCTCTCGCATGCTCCTGCTCCCTCTCTTCAAAAACAATACTAGACGGATGCTTAGATAGATCAACCGGCTGGCTCTCCTCTAAGCCTTGATCCGCCATTACCCCTCTCTACAAACCTCTTTGTATAAACATGTTCGCTAGCCAAATAAGACAGCTGACTTAGTAAAGCTTGACACATGCTCAAATTCTAAATCACTCGCATACCTGCTTTGCTATCTTTAATCTAAATCTGATCAGAATTCTTACCGGACCAAATAATGCTCTAGCTCTTAGGAAGAGATCAAGAAAGAACACTCCTTGATAGCAGAAAACAGGTCGATTTTGTAGGGGAAAACAGGGTCGGCCAAACAGATGATCCGTGATTTCCCTGGTTCGAGACACGATGCGACGACGGGAAGCAAGAAAACATCCAATCTGAGCGGGAAAAGGAGTAGCGAGCCGAACCCCATTTCCGAGAGCCAAAGAGATGGAGCAGGCGGACGGTTTTCGTGAACAGGATGATGAGTTTCACGCGGTATTGGACGGGTTTTAACGGAGAAGAAGAGGGAATGATATTTTAGAAAGTAAATTAAGTTTTAGGTGGTATGTGTATAAAAAAGTAAGTTTAGATGTTAGATGAATAAATAAGAAACTTTTAAGTGTTATTTATGTAAAAATCTCAAAAATGAAAGTAGAAATATACTATTATTAAATAATAGATAGTAAAAATAGTATTAAAAGCACAAGAATTTTCCTCTCGACACGTTGGCGCTGAAGTGGAGGGGACGTTCTGCGCGCAGTTATCCTCTGACTCGTAGAAGAAAGGGCGAATTCCCAAATGCCCCAAAAGGACAAAACTATAAATATTAAATTATAACAGTACTCCTCTGACTCAGCACTATTTTTTATTTATCAAAATACTAATATTTTCTTATATTTACAAGAACAGCCTTTTGGGATTGATTTATAAATTCAATTCGTTGTTTCACTGCAAAATGTGAACTCAATACAAAACCTAATGGTCCGGTGCTTACCGACTACGGCCAGCGGAGCTGCCGCCGGCGAGATCACTTCAGTCTACGCCACTCGTCTCGGCACCATCACTCTGAGATGGAGCCGAGCTTCTCTCGGCATCTATCTCCGAGCTGACCTCCGCCTTACGCCTTCGACGTCGCCGTCGCCGTCGCCTGACAATGATAACGCGGTCGCCGACCATCTCCGTCTTCGGCTCCGTCCATATCTTACGTGGAAGCGAAAGGGTTCGAAGCTGCACCAATTTACATCCGGTACTGGCCGCCGCCGTGCAGTCGAGCTGGCTTGGGACCTTTCCCTTGCTACCTTCTCCCGCGGCAGAGGACCTGAGCCCACCGGCGGGTTCTTCGTCTCCTTTGCTGTGGACGGCGAGATTGCACTCATTGTTGGAGATCAGGGAGAGGAAGGGATTTGTGAGAAGGGATCGGAGCTTATCTCGCGGAGGGAACGGGTAAGATTTGGGGGACTCGGAGGTGAGATGTCGTATGCGACGAAGGGGATGTTTGAAGGGAAGGAGATGGCGATCTCAATTTCGATCGATCTTGAGGGGGAAGACATGAGGCTGGGGATTGACGGTGAGATTGTTTTGGAGGTGACAAGACTTTGTTGGAAGTTTAGGGGGAGCGAAGCGGTGGCATTGAAGAGCGGTGGGAGGATTCAGGTGTCTTGGGACCTTCACGATTGGCTTTTCCAACAGGAGGCCGGTTGGGAGAGGTCGCCGGCGGCGGTTGGAGAGGCAGGGGAGGCTGTGTTCGTCTTGCGTTTCGAGAGGGGAGCGGGAGGGGAGGAGCAGATTGGTAAAGGGGGCCGACGCGCATTCTGGGAAGGACGATGGTGTTTTTGGAAGAGGGATTGGAGCGATAGTAGCAGCGGGTCGTCGTCGGGCTCCTCGGTCGAAGAATTGGGCAGTTGCGAGGCGGAGCTGCTGAGCTCCGGCGAAGGGGGTTTCACTCTTCTTGTCTATGGAAGGAAGGGATAATTGTTGAGACAATGCTTCTCCATCATTTACTACACTGCTGATGGCATCTCCAACAGAAAAGCTTATTTTTCACTCCAGAATGAGACATATCAAACAGTACACAAGAAAGAAATATTATCTGTATATTTTTTCTCTAACTTTTTTTTTTCCCTCAAAAATGCGTTTCAAAACGCGGAAATGCCTTTCCCGGATGATATGATAGTTTTTTTCTTGCTTTCTAAAAAAAAAATTAGCATAAAATTTTCTAATTTAAGAATTTTTATACTAAAAAGTTATTTTAAAAAGCAACAAAAAAATTGTACCAAACGAAGCCTTACTTAAGTTTCGTTTGGGACGGCTTTCTTATCGCTTCTTAAAGTAGCTTCCTAGTACAAAATTACAATTTTGTATTAGAAAGCTGCTTTAAAAAACAGAAATAAAGTCGTCCCAAACGAAACCTTAGACGTTTGCCGGAATTGCAAACTCACCGACATTCAGTTAGAGATGCCCTAAGTGGTGTGGAATTGCATGGAAAATGCATGTGGAAGGGAGTGAGTTAGACAAATAGTAATTGATCTGTAATTTTTTCAAAAAAATAGTAATGCTTCTTTGATTTGTTACATAATTGCTCGCTCTCTTTTTATTTTTTAATTAATTAAGGTTAATTTATTTGAAAAAAAATAAGTCGGGATATTTGGATTTAAATTTGATTGGAGATAAATTTTAAGTCATTATATTTATTTTGATAATTTTTAATTTATAAATTGTGTATTATACTCATATCAAAATTAATCTAATATTTTTGGGATTTATACTAATAAAATATTAAAAGTTTGATTGAAAAATCTTTGACTCTTTTGTGGTAGACTTCATTGGGGACAGTTTTGTTATTGTTTTTTAAAATAGTTTTTAATATAAAAAGAATTTGAATTAAAAATTTTTATGCTAGAAAATTATTTTAGAAATCATAAAAAAATTTGTCACAAAAGAAGTCTGAGGCTTCGTTTGGAAAGACTTTTTTACAGCTTCTTAAAATTATTTTTTAGTACAAAAAATTTTATTTTTGTACTGCAAAGTTGTTTTAAGAAGCAATAAAAAAGCCGCCCGGAGAAGAAGATCAGTGCATGTTGGAAATGCTCTGACAACTTGTTAAAATTGGCATTTTTGAATTGAAAAAATTGGTGGCTTTAGATGCATACTAGTTAAAATTGTAGGAGTTATATATTTAACAACTAAACTTGTTATTTACATAAATAAAATTCAAATTTTAAATAACATAAAAAATAACACTCACTTTATTATAATCTTGTCATCAATGGTTGGTGAGAGACTATTAGCTGTGAAATCCACAATGGGGCTCAAGTCCTGGACTTGTTTGATCATATGTTGGGTGGATTCTCACGTCTAACTAAGGCTTCGTTTGGGATGGCTTTCTTACTGCTTCTTAAAGCAGTTTTTTAGTACAAAAATTTTACTTTTAGTACTAAAAAACTATTTTAAAAAGCAATAAGAAAGTCATTCCAAACAAAAACGAAACCTAATTCTTATTCTTCTTCACACATTGTGATCCTACCATTGTATTCGCCAACAAGCTCCCATCTTGATTTCTCCTTCAAACACTACTAAGCTCAGTGATACCTTCGACAACACCCTCTAGTGACGACTCCCTTGTACTTTTGTCGTCAATGATTTGCAGTTAAGAGCACAATAGAGAGAAGGTTGTGTGTGTGTGTGTGTGTGTGTGTGTGTGAGAGAGAGAGAGAGAGAGAGAGAGAGAGAGAGAGAGAGAGAGAGGCATACAAAGATATAAGATACCTTAGGGGTTTACATGAGTAGCGTGCGGGCATTCTTCATGGCAAGATGTTATCACAACTTAGTTGTGTATAGCCAAATCCGTCAAGACTTTCATTAACTTCGCTAATGAAGTATTATATTATATAAATAGTAAGATTTAGATTCTAATATATATATATATATATTATCGATTGCTATGTATTTAAATTCCCCAAAAGAAATTAACATGATGTTTATTGAGAGAGGATATAAAAGCTAAAAGGCTTAGCAATTGTGAAAAAATGCTTCTCTATTATGAGCCTTTTTGTTTGACAAAGAGACTCTTGGAATTGTAGGAAGTCAAAAATGATCAATGGATTAAATTTGTTAGGCAATTTATTAGCCTAATTCGGGCTTAGGGTTTAGTTAGGAGTATTCCACCAAAAATGTATATTACAAATCCATTGTGTGTTGTAAATAGATAAATCTTGATTGAATTAAAGCACATTTCTTAACCATTATTTCAAGATCTTACATTTGTCTTTAGTGGGGGAGCCAAAAAATTTTTTTACAGGTTATAAATTGACTAATTTTAAAAATATCATAAATATTTTTGAATAGTTATTACAAATCTTAACATAAAATTTTAGAGGGTGCAAAAATTAAATATTTTTTTTGCAAAAATTATATTTATTCATACGAAGACATATAATATATGAAGTCCTATAAAAATGGTAGAGGGCATGTATACCCTCTCATGCTCTCTCTAAAATTCGCCATTGATTTTCTTGGATATGTAGAGTTTTGCTGGGATGATTGGGCCATGTATTGCTTACTAATTAAAAAAAACAACATGCATACAATTCGTAATCTTACATAAAATTTGAAAACCCTAAATATACTATATATTGGAGGATGTGTATATGATATACAATAGTATATATGATTGAAATAATAAAACGAGTAGTTTATTTTGTATTACGTTACGCAACTCATATTGGTCTGTAGGTTAGGAGCTTTGGAGCTTTGGCTGCCAACCAATATGTCTTGAGTTTGAGTCTTGCGAATGTGTGGAGAGTAGGTTTGCCTTAATTTGCCTAAATGTCCCCCAAAAAATTCTTGTATTAAGTTTAACCATTTGGATTGCATTCGCCTATAAAAAAGAGTGTGAGATTGTGAAGGCTTCTCCATTTATTCACTGAGAAAAGTAACTCGGGCTTATGATAGTAAGCCAGTTAGTGAAATCCTAGTTTTTAATAGCTTTGATTTACATTCCTTACACATTTGCATATTTACCTTACAAGTTTGATTGTTATTATAGTGATTATTAGAATTCATGACCTTGGGCACTTGTACATAATATATGAATTTGTGCTTAGAATGTTTTTTTACTTTTCTCATTTGAAGAATATAAATGTTTTTTTAATCATTTCTTTATTGTGCACTTATGTGCTTTTAGGGTTTAGTGAATTTACTTTTATTGTGTGAGTAATTCAATGGTTTAACACACAAAGATTAATAATTAAACATCCACTCATTCGCTTTATCATACAAATTACATCAAAGTTCTCACGTGAAATGCCTCCCTCATTAGATTGATCTATGTTATTATAAGTGTGAAATCAAATATTCTTCAGTATAGTTATTTTTATTTTATTTAATAATTGAATATTCTTACAACAATAACAACATCAAGCCTTTATCTCACTACGTGGGTCAGCTACATGATCCATTTTCTCCTTTGTGCTATGTTAAGAGTCAAATTCTCATTTGAAGGTCATTTCTAATATTTTTTAACAAGTCTTTTTAGATCTACCTTCATCTTTCTTAACATAAGTCAAATTTAATACATATACTTCCCTAACTGGGTCATCAGAAGACGACCGTTTTATGTGATCACACCATCTAAGATGACTCTATCTAATCTTTTCTTCCACTAGAGCTACTACAACCTTTTCACGTATATGCTCATTTCGTATCTTGTCTCTAAGAGTAAAGTCAGTCATCCACCTGACCATTCTCATCTCTACAACACTTAACATAATATTATGCTTCTCTTTTAAAATAATTGAATATTCTTGAGTATTATTTAAATCTTATCTCATGTAATCATATTAATATATATTTGATTTTTAAATTATTAACTTTCATATGTGTTTATTTTTTAGGGCTTTTGTTAGGAGAATTAAAAAAAAAAAAGTTTAAGAGTTACATTGCACATTCAATACACCGCCTCTTTTTTTGGGCTTCATTTTAGATGGCTTTTTTAGTAATTCTTAAAGGAACTTTCTATTAAAAAAAATTAATTTTTTACTAGAAAACTGCTTTAAGAAACAATAAAAAAAAATGCCCCAAAATGCCTTTAACCCATAATTCGTATCAAAGCAAAGTTCTCCTAATTATCTTTTATGCTTAATATTTTTTAGTTAAGACACAATGGAGCATTTATTTATTTATTTACGTTTTTCTAGTGATTTACCACCTTTTTTGGGCGGAATAACTTTTTATTTATAGGATAAATAAATTAAAGTTTATGATTTCTGCATGAAATTAATTAAAATTTTAGCTTGATTGTCATGAATGAGTCTTTATCTAGTAGAAATGATATTGAATCAAATAATTTGAATATGGTAACTATTTCTTATTTTTATTATATTACCTAATTATTTAAACTATTTTCACCCTTACAACACAACACCAACATCAAGCCTTTATCCCATTATGTGGGTCGGCTATATGAATAATTTTTTTTTTTTCATTGTGTCATGTTAGGAGTCAAATTAACATTTAAATTTAATAAAAATATCATTTCTAATATTTCCTATCCAATCCTTTTTAAGTCTACCTCCACATTTATTAACATAAGCCAAATCCAATACATCTACTCTTCTGACCGGGTTATTGAAAGGTCGGAGTTTTATTTGCCCAAATCATCAAAGTCAACTCTCTCTAATCTTATACGCCACTAGACCTACTCCGACAATTTCATGTATATACTTGTTTCTTTTTCTATCTCCACCAGTATAGCCATTCATCCACCTGAGCATTTTTCAGCCTTGAAATTTTAAAAAAATGTTTTGGACGCTCTCATCTCTATGTATAGAATTTATGGAATAGAAGGTGGGAAGATTATTGAATAATGGAGTTTTGAAAGAAAATATCATCAAAGACTAAATTGAAGAATGACAATGATTTGCCTCCAAGAAGGAAGATTAGAATATCAAAAAGAAAAACAAGATTGCTAGAGGAAGGGAGAACAATGAAGAATTGTGCCCCTTATTGCACAATTTGTGGAATAAGATGATGATGGAAAAGAAAATAAGTATGATCTCCTTGACATTATTTGAATTTGACTCTAAAAATGAGGTAAAAGAAATTTCTTATGAAGAATTATCTAATACATTCAATGAATTAGTTTTAAACTTGAAAAACTATTTTTTTTTTTTCTTAAAGGGAGAGAATTTAAGCCTTTGAAATGGTTAGTAGATGCTTTAAAGGAGAAACGAATCTTGCATTCTAAATGTTGAGATATCGCATAGCAAAGCATTATTTAAAAAAAAAAAAAAACCTTAGCTAGTTAGAATAAGAGATATAAACAAGAGGTAGAGTTGTAGTTCTTTTGAAGTTTTAATTTTTAACATAATGAATATATAATACAAAATATCAGTTTGTATGTGAAAATAAGATGGATTTAATGGGACTAAAATTAGAAGCTTCTTTTATGTTTATAAAATAATTATTTCAATGATTACATTATAAATTTTATTAAAGCATGATTATCAAAACATAAGCTATATTTTGAGCAAGAGAAATTATCACATAACATATCCTTAAATAGTTCATTAATGGTATTTTACAAATGTAATCATAAGTAATTAAACAAAGCTTATAGGATCAAATCAAATTACATTAGCTTAAATAACACTAATGTGTTATCAATTTATCATGTATTATAATTTGAAAGCATGATTCATAACTTTAGGTGTAGCTTTAAAATGCTTAGGCATGTTTAGTTATGGTCAAGATTTAGGCATGATTGCAAGATCATTTTTTAGTAAATTAAGATAATTCTTGGGGTAGTTTCTCTTCAATGCATTTTTCTCCATAATGGCTCTTCTTTAAGTGAAATTATTTTGTGCAGATACGAACTCCGTCCGGAGGCGAATCAAAACATGCCACATCACTTAAGTGATGTGGCATGTTCTGATTCGCTTCTGGACAGTCTAGTACCCACACATAATAGTTTTTTCCTTTTTTAAAAGGAATTTCCATCTCATTAGCCCTATCTTCAAGAAAGTATAGTAGAGATAATTCAATGCATGAATTTTCTTCATCATAAATTGAGCATAATAGATCACAAGGACCACAGGGGCTTCAACTTAGGCTTCGGTTGGAACGCTTTTTTTATTTCTTATTGAAGCAATTTTTTAGTTTATAAATTAAATTTTTGTATTCGAAAACCACTTCAAGAAGCAGTAAAAAAATCGTCCCAAACGAAGCCTTAAACTTTAGGCACCATAGGATCTATTAGGAGGTGCTAGGAACAGATTGAGGTTTAAGCTTCTAAAGATATATAAAGAAAGTTGTAGATCAACTAAGAATTCTTAAGGAAGCCTTTTGTTTTGGTTGTATGGTAACAAATGATTGTTATGGAAAGCATAGCCAGAAGGAAGGATTCTATTGACTTCAGAATATACAGATTGTTTCCATATGCAAAAGGACCTATGATTGATTGCTACTAATGCTTAAGAGCTATCTATCAAAAATATAGATTTTCTTCTCCTTCTTTTAGGCTTCATTTGGAATGACTTTTTTACTGCTTCTTAAAGTAGCTTTCTAGTACAAAATTTTAATTTTTGAACTAAAAAATTATTTTAAGATTCAATAAGAAAGACATCCCAAACGAAGCCTTATTCTTCTGATTTTTTCACCATATTGTATTTAGAATCCTACAGCACAATTGCAAAGACAAAAGCAACAACTACAACCAAAATATATCTTAGATGAGCGTATTATTTCCAATTGCACACCTGGAAATCAACATTTCTAGCTGAAGTGGGCAAAGCAGTTGCAAAATTCTGAAGCTCCGTAAGCACTCCAAAGCCAAAATCCATCAAGGTTAGTTTTCCAAAGTTCAGGAGAGCTGGCAGCTGGGTCTGTTGGAGGAAACAACACAGCTATGTGCAAGAAATACTGATAGTTTAGAAACAATAGAAACAACAAAATAAAATTACTACTGCCAACCTCCACATATCTTACAATTCTTAAGTTTGTCTTTATAGATAAATAAAGATTATAAGAGACAGAAGTGCATGTCTTCATGATTTGGGAGCGACTTTCTCTTCTAACTTTCCTATTTGAAATTCATTGTTTCTTTTTCTTAGGTTTCGTTTGGGACACTTTCGTACTACTTTCTAAAACGACTTTTTAGTGCAAAAATTTTAAATTCAAAAAATTTTTGTACTAGAAATCTGTTTTAGAAAGCAAGAAGAAAGCCGTCCCATATGAAGCCTTAGTCTCTTGCTTACCAGTTTATTGCTTTGTGTGGAAGAACTCCAATATGCCACACATCAGAATATCCTCATGATTTATGCATATAGATTTGTTGTAAGCGAAAACAATTTCATCTCAAGCAAATTTGTTATGCCCAAGATTGAAAAAACTTATAGCAAGCCTTCCAATTGGTGTTTGCATAGATTTGATTCATCATCTTGATTGCTTTGACTGTTAAAAAAAGAATGATTATAGATGAGTTTTAGCTGGGAAGTCAAGAAGATGGACAGTCATTTTGTTCTGACAACCATCCATAACATAACTTGTAGCAGAAATTTTATTTTATGAGAACTTTTCTCCATTATAACATGAAAGTTCTTTGTATGGTCTCTTTGAATTTTATCCAAAACCCATGATGTCTTTGCGTCAGAATAGCTTGTTTTTCCCCCAATTTTTCTCAAGGGTGTAGAGGGAACATGCCTTAGAGAATAAAACTCACTTTAGAGGGAACTCGAAGACATTGAAATCTCAAGAGGCACCCCTGGCTGAGGTTCAAGTACATGTGCATCCGGAAGCTCCTCCTTCAACAATTCCTGGGAAAAAATTAGGAATTCATAGTTCAAGCAAAAAGACAATGGAAAATGATAAATGAAGCAAAGGCATTATGAAATCATAGACAATGTAATGCATTCATCATAAATCAGCATCAGTATGCCTCTATTCTATGGAGAGAATGAACTTAGCAAGATGTTGACCTACACACCAAGTGCGCACGTAAAGGAGTGAAATCGGCGACAAAAATGACAGTCGGTGACCCAAATGATGTTCAATCGTCGAACGAATTATGCCGTTGTTGACCTGCATCTTATATCCAAAAGAAATAAAAAGAAAGAAGCTCAAAATCTTACCTTGACTATCGGATCCAAGAATCCCGCTGGTAGAGTCGCTCCCACAAATCCCGCTCCGTACCTCGTATACGTCAAAAAAAAAAAAAACCTGCCAAAATCCCGTTGTTCGGCGCCGTCTGCAGCGTATCCCGAAAACCTTGCGCACTTCCTGCGTAAATCCCGTGATCTTGCGCCTTTTCCACGTCTATAAAACGAAGGGGGAGAGGCTCCCGTTCGTCACTTCCCCACTCGATCGCAGGAGCTCCCAACCTGTCGCCTGCTCTGGCCGATCCCATTCCACCGAGCTCGATCCCGATCCCCCCCTCCAAGCCGAGCACCTACCTCCACTCCAGCAGGTTGACGACTCCCCGAACCCCACCTTCCGACCTGCTCGATCCCAGAGAGAGAGAGAGAGAGAGAGAGAGAGAGAGAGAGAGAGAGAGAGAGAGCAGTCGGCAGTTGAATTGGTCGAGATCAATCAAAGTCGGCGACTAACACCTAAAAATGACGTGCGATGTCGCCCAAATGACGTTCAATCGCAAAACGAACTTTTGTCGTTGCATTTGGAACGCCGGGGTCATCTAAAAATGACTATAATTCCGCTCAACTAAATCGCGCGACGAAATTGACATTGTTTTCAAGGCGGCAGTGCACGAATTTCAAGATAAATGCATGAAAGCTAAGGCAAAAATCTCTATTATTTTAATAATAATTATTATTATTATAAATCAGGTAGGAGATAGCCTGGTGTGTGCTTGCGGCGAAGTGGGTAGGCCTTGTACACACTCTTGTAGTGTGGCAGGGACAACTTTAAGTACCCGAGTATAAGCTACAGTGCCTGTGGGGAAAGAAACTGTGTATATTCAAACAGGTACCTCAAAGATCCATATGTGCTTTTGTAGCACGGTGGGATTGAAGTCACAACCACAATATCGCACAACAACTATCACACACGCTCTTATAGCATGGTGGGAAGGCCCAGCTCCCCAAATTTTTTCCAAACGAGGGAGACGCCGAATGATGCTGAAATTTGAAATGATCGAGGACCTGAATTTAAACAAAAGCACATGGGACTTGTATGAAGATCAAGATATCAACTTTGAACAATAAGGGAACAAAGATTTGAACTAAACATCATGGAACAGAACCCTAAATCCTTAAATGCATAATTGAATTAAAAATGCAAGTGCTAATTAATAATTCAAGCCATTCATTCAAGCATAAATGAATAACAAGGAACTCGCGATGGCTGAAATTTCAAATACCGTTTGTGTACTAACAGAGATCACGTGACCAATGTACAACGTTTATATAAATAGTACCCTGCAAGAAGGGATAAACATGCATCAAACAATCAATTGCCAGCCAGTATGCATAAAAAGGATTTAGTAGGGAATGCAGCAATGTTTGGCAATTAATTCTGCCATGCGGTGAATATTATACCATCCCTGTGATCAATGTAAAATAACCTATAATAAATGTAATAATGCCTCACAGTCAACACCAATAACTCATATGAACTAATACTACTACAAACAAGCACACTAGGCCACCTGTGAATGGTGGCGGTGGACATCGGGGGTGGACATGATACAAGTACATGTAGAATGCAACAAACACTAGAGTGTCCATGCAGTCGACAACAATAGTACCCTATAAGTACATTTAACCATGCAAGCAACAATGGGTGACATGCGGTGAATTATAAATTAAGGTGTGCTTGCAAATTACAAGGTAAATACAACTTATATGCAAATTAGTATCATTTGAATGCAAATGCTTACAAACCGCCATAAAAGACAGATGCGACAGCCATGATAAGAAGAAAAGCATTCACTTCATACAAGAGCTGAAAGTTTAGTTGATTAAGTACAGCTAAGTCCTCCAATTGATAATTCCAACATGCTGATATTGACAGTTAGGTATAAAAACAACTTGAGGTATGGAGGAAACTTGTTGAAACGTCATTAAAGGAAGACCCCAATTGTGATGTGAAGCATGCAGAATTGAATGATTCTATAGAGTCAAAGAATGATCAGTTGAAGATGTGTTTAATCTTATCATCTCTGTAGAAATACCGAAGACTTTCAACAACCGCAAGTATCTATGAACTGTTATAAGAAACCCGCTGATATGCTACCAGAAGAAGGCCCCAATTATGAAATTAATCATACAAAGTTGAATGATTCTATGAATGATTTCGTAGAGTCAAAGAATGAGCAGTTGGAGAAAAAAATGTCTCATTCTAACACCTCTTCAGAAATATTGAGGTTTCTAAAGAAATGTCATATTATTCGAACGAATATATGGAGATCAAACCTCACAACCTAATGTCCTACATGTGCACCATTTAAAGTTGCAGCTACAGATTGAAGAAAGCTGCTCTTAATTGCCATGTCAAGGACAATAAGAAAAGCCTCCACATCCCATATGCATATCAGATGCTAGAATGTCGTTGAGATACTAAAAACTATTCTTTGTTTTGTCCTGCTCATGCTTTGAGGAGAATATCTTGTGGCAAATTAAAGACGAGGAGAGCCAACAACGCATCAGCCGAGCCTTTAGTCCTATCATATTATGATACATCATCTACCACAAAATGACTTCATACAAGTTGAATATCGTCATCTAGCCTGAGCAAGGATTGAATGATTTATGGATTTGATCTCTCAAAGGACGAGAAAATGGAGCTTGCATCAAAACAATAAAGTATCTCAAGGCTATTATGAATGCAATGCTATGATCCACCTGTAAGCAAAAGCAGAGAATCAGTAGTAAAAATCATGGGCCACTATAGCGCAACGAAATGCCACTAAAGCCGCAATATTCATGCAAGCGGGCAGAATTCATTTGAAGATTTCTAAATGAAATTCGGCGCATTTATTAAACGTGGTTATTTGCATAGTCGATAATAAAAAAAACCCCTTTGCACTGCATGCAAATATTTTAAAATGGCTCTCATACATGCATTGCAACATGCATGATAATTCATTTAAACATGTTATACAGCATCATGAGATGCATTTAGTTGTAACAAGTGCATTGCATTTACATGTTAATATGTTGTATATGCACGTGTCATAACTTGCAGAATACATCATGTGAGCATGTCATCAGATATTGCAAATATATCACAAACCTCTGGCATGCATTTGCAAGATGCTGATAATTTCATTCTAGCATGTTGTCAAACATTACTATTGTACCCCAAAATAATCTCCGGTGTGTATCTGTACGACACCGAGAATTTCATTCTAGCATGTCATCTGACATCGCTGTTGCATTTCAAAATAACCTTTTGCTTGCATCTGTAGGATGCCGAGGATTTCATTCAAATGTGTCATCCGACATTACAATTGCATTTTAAAATGACATCCTACATATATCGCTAGGAAGCAAGGGGTTTCATTCAAGGCATGTTATTTGACACTGTATTCATATCTCAAAATAACCTCTTCACATACATTTGCAAGATGCCGAGGATTTCATTCAAGCATATCGCCTCGACATTACTATTGCATTCCAAAATAGTCTCCGATATATATCTGTAAGATGCCGGGGATTTCATTCGAGCATGTTGCCTCGACATTGCTATTGCCTTCCAAAATAGTCTCTAGCATATATTTGTAGGATGACGAGGATTTCATTCTACCGTGTCATTCCAACATTGCTATTGCATCCAAAAAAATGACCTCTAATATGTATTTGTAGGATGTCCTGGATTTCATTCAAGCATGTTGCTTGACATTGCAATTACATTTTAAATGACCTCCTGAGTACTGAGGATTTCTTTCAAGTATGTGTAAAATGCATCATACATGTATACATACAGCTGTTATGCAAATACATCATGTCGTATGCATTGAACAGGCATACACCCGCATGGGTCTCGGCGAGCGTGTTGTTAGTACACACGTGACGACGGAGGACGCTGTAGAATTTGAGGTTGAATTCGATCCTCTGTAGACAAGTGTACAGAGTCGATAAGGTTCAAACCCATAAAATAAAATGAGCCATAAACACCCCGATGATGGTCATGCTGATAGAAAATCTCAACTAGAGGGAAACATAAACATTTAAAATTTCTCCCAAAAGCTCATAAATATTTAAAATTTTAAAAATACCAGGATCTAAGATATTTAAAATTAAAACTAATCATCAAACACTTAAAACACAAATACTCATCCATCATCCGCAATAGTTTGTTGAGGTGGACAAATATGAAAACTAATTCAACTCACAAAAAGTTAATGTCAAGTCGAGAATATCACTAGGATTTATTCTCAATTTGTCTCTTGCCCGTAAGGACGTGGTGTGTGTCATCTAACCGGTAGTTTCGTCGCCAAATGACACTACATTAATAATTACGCCGCTAAAAGGCGCCATATATAAACGATTATGACCGGGATCTGCTGAGCAGGTGGTTTTGTCGCCAAATGGCACCATTATGTTACGGTAATGGTCAGAGCATGAATGTTCCCCAACAACTCCAAATCATTGGGTAACAAATTAATAGGATATGATCGATAGGGCACAAAGGACTCTGTTAGCTAAGGTGGATTCAAATTATCCCCTTAGACAAATATTCATCACTTGTCTGCAAGGTACTCTTGGCCAAAGCAACCCATGGTTGTGGACAAGGATCCTTCTATCAGGTTGGGCTGACTACCTCCTCTAACTAAGAAGACCAGAGACCATGATGACCCGAGATGATGGAATCATGGGATCTTAATCGGGTTCATCATCACTCCCCCCACCAACCACTTTAAGTGCAAGATTGTAAAATTTTTAATTGTAAGTATTAAATTCTCACATACCTAAACCCATGCTACTACTATACGTCAAATACTCTATATATGTTTGATGACTAGTGTTAATAAAAAATTCCTCTCGTTATCGGAAGGCGTAATTAACTATAGGGGCTTGCGCCTATAGGAAACCAGAACTCATATGATAAAGTCCTCGCAAAATGAGGGCGAAATCTCTAGGTGATGACTTGTCTTAAAACTCAATCCGCCTTCTGAAAATTTGTCAACATAACTTAAATGCTAAAACTCTCCTTGACTAGCCAAAAAAGCAAAGAAAGAGAAAGGGGTCCGCAGAGAAGCCGAGGCACGAATTTTCGGAGCACATACAAGATTTGCTAAAATTGTGAGCTACTCTATTAAATTTATTGCCAACTTTCTGGCTGCTTCATCATTATGCATGTTTTATGATGTTTCCATTAAAGATGAAAAATAAAATTCTACTGTGCAACTTAATTTTTAATTGATATTAGCCTTCCAAAAATACCCAGGAATAGTCCATTGATAGAATTGATTAAGGAAGAAGATGTCACCTCAAGCACACAGCATGATGTTTAAAATGTGTCCAACAATCAATATTATAATAAATAGTGCAAATCCAAACCTTAAAAGATTCCACCGTCCCCTCCGAACGAATGATACTTGAGAGAAACCCTTTACCATTAAGATCACCATTCTTCATTGGAACAATGTACCTAGAAACACGAAAGTAATCAAGCCATATATGTTTAGATATGCAGATTCATAACCAATAAATCAACAGTGTATACTTTGCTTGCAGTAACTTTGCAAGATGAACTGCATCTTCTTGTCCAGAAACCAAGGTGAATGAAGGAAGTAGCTGTTTAATGACTGGCGTGATGAGTATGTCCACCTTATATTCTTTTAGAAAAGACTTGTTGTATACACAGTGCGGTTCATAGTAGAGTTTCAGATTACTTCTTCTTGATGTGATAATGTACCTGCTAGTGAATTGTCTGATCAGCTACCTCTTAACGAGGGCACATGAAAATGTGCCTGGAGTGGAATCATTAGAACCATTAAAATGACTAACAAATTAATCCATCAGAGCAAAAGGGCATTGCTAGCATATTGTCATAGTTTCAATTAAATAACCTGCAGCTCAAACAAATGCCAATATCAATTTACCCATTTTCTGGCCTCTGCCAAGGAGGACCTAATATAGGACCTGCAGTAGCAAGGATATTGAGCTTTCCTCCATTTCTGCCTTCAAATTCAGAAGTTTGGCCAGGTTCTAGATAAGTTACCTGTAAAGCATTTAAAGTTTTCAAGTATCACGTTGGAAACTAATTTAGGCTTCGTTTGGGATGGCTTTCTTTCTGCTTCTTAAAGCAGCTTTTTAGTACAAAAATTAAAAATTTTGTACTCGAAAGCTGCTTTAAGAAGTAGAAAGAAAGTCGTCCCAAATGAAGCCTTAATCACTTGCTAAGTTTATATCAAGTTGGAAACTAATTTAATCACTTGGTAAATTTAAGAATAGAACTGATGCATTCAATTGCCATCTTTTCTGCACTGAGTTTCTGTGACTCCAAAATTATGAGAGGAACATTATTAAACAATACCAAAAAACATGTAGAAATAGTTACTCAAAAGCAGAAGTGGATTCAATTCAAATTTTGTTGTGTACGTTTGTGCACATCCATTTCTAAAACATACAAATAAACTTAAAGAATATGAAAGACAACTTTAATGAGAATACACCATGTCAGAAGCAAATGAATTTAAGGAATTCCGTTACATAGTTCTGATACAGTACAAGACAAGTTCATGGTTTTAATCCTCTTTGAAGAACTCTAAAAGCCTTGTAAAAAAACATCATCAATTTCAGCTATTCCATTGTTTCCGCTCAAGTGAGAATATCTAGCTCAGTTAAATAAATTATGGTACAGCGAACAGAAAAAGTTAATAATAAAGGTTACCAAAAGAAGCAGTTTCTTTAAAAAAAAAAAATTTGTGCCTTGGCTCATCAGTTGTTGTGAAATCTTTGAAGGAAGATAGATTTTGAATTCAATTTCTTCTCCTACCCCTCTTCCTTTCTCGGTCAGCCACAAGAACAGCCGCCCAGTCTCCTCCTTCCTCTAGAACAACCTCCTCTTTGGTTGTCTTCTCTGACTGGACTGCTGGCCACTTCTTGGTTGCTCCATCGAGAGAGAGAGAAGAGGGGAGAGAATAGAGGAAGAGAGGTAAAGACCTCACAAATCTGTATTGACTTGTTCTTTAGGATAAAACCCTTTCTTTAGCCTATCTAGCTATCTATGAACTATATATAGACATTAGCAACTTGACACTGATATGGTGTCTTGCAAAACAACTATAACCTAAATCAGAGCTTGATCAAGCAAGGTCAATCCTAAAGAACAAATCAGTACATATTTGTCAGCTCTCTCCCTCTCTCCCATGTTCTCTCTCTCGGTGGAGCAGCCAAGAGGTGGCCGGCGGTCCACGAAGAGAAGAAAGCCAAGGAGGAGGCTGTTATAGAGGAAGGAGGACACTTGGCGACTGTTCTGTTCTTGTGGTTGATGGAGAAAGGAAGAGGTGTAGGAGAAGAAGGTGAATTCAATATCTATCTTCCTTCAAAGATTTCACAACATCAGTCATAGCAGAAACTCTCAACTAAATATCAAATATCAACCTCAAACTTAAATGCACTGAAGCTCGTTAAATAATAAAGCCCCTAATGCATAGATAGCTTCTTAATATCTATCAAAGAATAATTTTTAAGCATTTCTGATTGAGGCATCAAATTATTCTGAAGAGATGCTAAAATATAGAAATCTCAAAGCCTCAATGCCCGTTAAATAATAATGCATTGCTTGAAGAATGACAGTCATCTTATCATAACTAAAAATTAATGTACCCTCACATTAAAAATTATAATTATATTTTTTTTAATTCTTAAAAATTTATAATCCATTAAAATTATTTCAATGAACATATCCAATATATAAATAACAGTAACATACTTCAATTTTTAAACATAATAGAACCACAAGGGAAGCTGCAAGACTACCAATACCGCAATTCATTAGAAGATTAATCAAAGCTAATACTGACAAAACTTTTTAAACCTTGATACAAATCAACAAAAACAAGTTATCAATTTCAACACAACCATCACAAAAAGAAACTTGATCCTTTTTTCTCATTTATGTATTCTTTTTGTTATCATAGTTACAGGAGGTTCAATGATACATGTTAAAAGGCAAGAACATATAGGCATGAAAAAGGTAATACTTGCTGTTGAATGTTCATATTTAAATTCCAGCAAATCGACATGAAACAACAAAGGCATAACAAAAGGAAAGGACCGATTGATAATCTAACTTACATTTCTAAAGAGTGATCTTAAAATAGATTCTGCATTCGGAGTGGAGAATACTGGAAGGTTAGGATGCTTCTCTGAAAGGGGTCTTAGCGTCTTCACATGGCAGTGGTCATCAAGGCTCTGTGTAATCAGTAGGCAGTCCACCGCAGGGAGATTCTCGAGCTACCTTCAAGGTATTGATACACAATTAAGACTGGTTTTACATCACTCCCCTACAGCACTATCCATATATCCACATGAAACCAAAAACAATAAAATAGGAGAATCAATTACCCGGAACGTGGTCAAAACCTTCTTGGCGGCATCATACAGCCACGGCACCCCAAAATCCAGGTTTCCCACCAAGATGGGATCCACCAAGACGTTCACTCCATCTGTATTCCATAACCAGCTGTTTCCCTGATAATAAGGAATGCGTTCAACTCGTTCGAAGAAATTCACATGGGGCAATTAAGGTAAAAGAGAGCAAGGAAATATGAGAAGCGAACCTCTAGATAGGTAAGCTCAAAGGCGTCAGCTTTGGTTCCAGGAGTAGAGCTGGAGATAGAGGAAGAGGAGGAGGCCTTGAGGCTTTGGTTTCTATCAGAGTGGAGTGTAAGTCGGCGGCGACCGAGAGGAAAGAGGAGAGAAGAGGGACGATGACACGGAAAGGAGTCGGGAGAAGCTCTGCTGATGCTGATGCCCGGTAATTGAGCGAAAGAGAGGGCGGCGAGCACCATGGAAAAGAGCGAAGACCGTAAAAAAAAAAAGCGGAAGGTAAAGACGGGTTGTTGAATCGCAGAACACATTCGTCGTTAATAGGATCTGCATGGCTCGAATCAGGCTTGGGACACGTTTCTAATCTGCTGTCCACCCATTTGATTTGAGATTTGGGGTCGCAAGGCGGAGAAAATATTTGATGGGGAGTCCGGATATGGTTGTATGTTGGAACATCAATTAAATTTAGACACATGTATTTACATGTAAATATTTTTTTTTTCTTATGATCTAACTCAGTCCAGAGATGAAAATTTTGAAATGGCAAGATAAAAATTTTCAAATCATGACAGATTAATAGTCCCTAGATGTGCGGAGTAGGGTAAATTTTTATCGTCGAACAAGGATTGCTCTTATCTCCTTCTTCGGTCCTCATTTCAATTCAGGCACTCTTCATCTTTGAATAAGAATCGGTTTGTCATCTCCTTGAGTTCATATTCGAAGAATGATCACTCTCTTCATCATCTTTATGCGCCATCCAGCAGCCAGATTCGCAAGGTTAAATTTAACCCCATTGTGAGCTTGATTAAGGTGGCATTTTATCACTGGATTTGTTGAAGGCATGAACAACGAAGCTAGATACTCTGTTTGACGTTTTTCTCAAAATTACTTTTAGGGTTTAGGGTTTGGGTCATTCGCTTGTCGCATTTTTGCAGCTATTGCGAGCATCCAACAAACGCCAAACAAAAATGCATTTTGTATTTTCCCTCCACTGTGAGTAGTGTGACACTAGTTATTGAATAGGACAGTCGGTTTGGCGTATGGTTGGATACTAGCGGCTACTAAAATCAATGAATGTCGTTCAACTAGTGATTGTTATGGTGTATTATTCAATTATTTATATTTGAATTTTGGGAAGAGGCATCTTTTTGTATAGCAACTATGTCAAACTATAATTTTTAGAAATTTGAACATTCTCACAGTTATATAAATATTGTGGCATGCTTAATTATGTATTTTCCCTCTTTTTAATGCTTTTTACAACTGTACATTGTGTATATTAGGGGAATTTTTTAGAATTTTGGTTTGTTCCTATTACACACGCATGGCATGTACAAAGTTTAGATACAATGATATCAACAATTTATGCGATAGATGGCCTGGAGTGGCGAGATAGGTGATTGCGAAGAGAGCGACGATTTTGGCAGATCGGTGGAGATCGGTGGTTCTCCGTCGGCTTGGTATGGCCAACGGAGGTTCTTTGAAGAATCTGGGTAGAGAGGCGATGGATTTCAAGACGGGTTTGGCCAGAGATATGCTTTCGGGAATGAAGGCGAGCTCCTTGGCAGTACGAAGCATTCTTGAAGTTTTGACGGAGCTTTGGAATTCTGCGGATCTCCATCGTCCTGGTATGGCTAACGGAGTTCCTTGGTTGGTTTTTTGCATGGAATACGATTTATGTGGTGAAGTTGATCAGGCAGAGGAACACTTTCGGCCCATTTTTTCGGAGGTGAGGTGAGCTCCTTGGCATGCTTAGAGTCTTGGCATATTTGGCGTTCTTGTGAAGATATGACTAAACCTTCATGGTGTTCTTGGCGGAGACGAGGCGATCTTGGAGCTTTGGAGTTCGGTGGATTTCCGTCGACCTGAGGTTCTCCTTCGGCTTGTTTTTGGGGAGGCGGACGATTTAAAATCGGTTTTGGCGAAGCATTTCCTGACGGAGGTTCTCTATTGGTTTGATTTGGTAACCGGTTGTGCTGGTTGTGTTTATTACTCTGGTTTTAGAGTCTTGATGGAATATGGTGAGGCTACCAATTTGAAGGTGTTTTTGGAGAAGGTTTTTCGTTGCCTCGTCATTGCTTATAATTTGTCATTGGCTAAAATTTTTACTTGGCTAAATTTCGGTTTTATGTGTGGATTTTGGAGTTCGGAGTTATTCTAGTGTATTGACTGTCTTGATTCCAGATTTGTTTTAATTGAGTTCTTGGTTTGTGATCAGTTGATTTGCAAGAGATTGGTGGTGTTTGGATGTTTGGATGGAAAAGATGGTTCTTTCTATTTTGAAGAATTGTTTTCTTATGGATTCTTGAAGACTCTTGGATATGATGTTCTTCTATTAGGTTTGGTTGTGGACAGAAGAATCGGTTTCTTTTTTCTATTAAAGGAAAAGTTATATTTCAAGCAGATTTTGGTTTGATTGCAACTGGTTATGCAACTATGTGGAAGGCTTTGTCTGTTAAAGCTAGAGATATTGCAGTGATTGATTTAAAGTTGTTCGGTTCGTTTATGGAAGTTTGTTTGATTCCTTCTAGAAGTATTGGAACCAGCTTTAGTGTTGTGGTTGTTGTTTGGACTCTTGTTGTTGGTATCAGTGTTATTGTTTCGTCGACTTTGTTTGGATCGTTCAAGGTGTTTGGATGTTCTGGCCGTGGTTCGACTTTGTTGAGGTGGTTGTTGGTTTATGTCGGTAATGACGAGGTGGTTGTTTGGTCTATTGCTTTTCAGTTGTTCTTTGAAGATCAAATCTTATTGTTTAAAGATTTGAAGGACTTGAAGTTTTTTGGTTTCTCTCTTGTCTATATGATGTGAATGGTGATTATTATCAGTTTATTGGTTGGCTTTGGCATTGATGAGGTCGGTTATTGGCTTCTTGAGGTTGTCGTCGGTGTTATGATTTACAGTGGAATATCACTGGTGTTGTTCTTGCCAGTATTATGGATGTGATGGCAATTTTCAGTTTATATGACTTTGCTTGTGAAGAGTCTGTTTGGAGCTTGTTGGACCATAAGATTGATGGGATCCTGGATGATGTTTGGATAGCTGGTTTAGAAGTTATTTTAATCTTTCTTGTAACTAGTTATCATTTACTTGTTTTGCTTATAGGCTTCTTACACCTTTTTAAAACCATTATGATGAAATATGGGATTTTCACTAGGTTTCATTTTCCATCTTTTGAGAAAGCTGGGAAACTAACCAACCTTTTAGGTTGTTTTAATATTTGGTATCCCCATCACCCAAATGGATTTAAAATGGAATTTTTTGAATCGCATATCCATTATGATAGTTTTAAAGGTGTATTAGGTTTGCTTTTGCTTTCTAGATTGTATTAGGTTCTCTTATTTTAATGCAATTTGCATTTCTTCAAAAAAAAAAACAATTTATGTGATATTTTTTTATTTTGATGCTTTTTGAACTAATACACAGTAAGTATATGATTTTTTTTATTTGATCTTTTTCTTATACAGACACTGTATCATGTGAAAAGCTTAGATACAACGATATAAATGGTTTATGCATTATTTTTTTCATTTTGTTACTTTTTGAACTAATACACAGTGGATGTATAAGAGATTTTTTTTAATTGTGTTTTTTTTCTTATACACACACTATGTATTGCATGTGAAAAGCTTAAATACAACGATATCAATGATTTATGTATTAGTTTTTGTTCATTTTGTTACTTTTTGAACTAATATACAGTGTGTGTATAAGAGAAAGTTTTTGAATTATGATTTTTTTCTTATACACATTGTATATTGCATGTGAAAAGCTTAGATACAATGATATCAATAGTTTATGCATTATTTTATGTTCATTTTATTGTTTTTTAAACTAACACACAATGTGTGTATAAGGGGATTTTTTATTGAATTGTGGTTACTTTTTTATACACACAATGTGTATTGCATGTGAAACGCTTATATATAATGATACCAATGGTTTATGTATTATTATTTTTGTTCATTTTGTTGCTTTTTGAAATTGTACGCAATGTGTGTATAAGAGAAATTTTTTAAAATTGTATGCAATGTGTGTACAAGAGAAAATTTTTTAGATTGTAGTTTTTTTCTTATACACACACTGTGTATTTCATGTGAAACATTAAGATATAGAGATATCCTTATACACATTTTTGCATGTATACACTCAAAAGATTACTTTTCGTTGTAGACCATCAATATTTATAGCTATATGCGACTCATGGTTAAGATTTTTGGCAAGGAAGTCGAGGAAACCTTACAGAAATTCACATATATCAATTTTTAGAGTTTCCTGCATTCTGACGGAATGTTTCCCTGATATACATGATGTTATAATTATGGAATATGCCTAGATAATGTTTTATCATTAAGGGGCATGAGCTATGATTCATTGTAGATGAAGTAGCTCTACTTACAGAATTGCCAAATAGAGCTGTTGATATTAACTAGGAAGATGAGATAGTAATAATATATTCCTCAATCGATATTAAAAATGAGATGAAAAGCATCAACAAAAGCTACTCATCATGTCCTTATTATAAATAAATGTATTATATTTCTGTTGTACAATTTATTCTTTTCATTCATAACTATAAAACTCCAAAGTGGCTTATTAGTGTTACACATAATATAGATAAATTCTCATCTTATAATTGGGCAACGGCCATTACATATTTCTCAATTTTTCATTTTAATGGGATTGCCAAAAAGTTGTTGAGGAGAGCCCACTAGGTTATATAAATGAATTTGTATTGTTACTAATAGTGAGTACTAACATCATTCAAGTATCTCTTTAATTATTAATTCATTTAAGGAATGTATTGCCTAATGTTACATTTGATCTTATAAAGGTTTGTTGTTGGAGCACACATCAATTGGTGCCCCTAAGATGGGTAACTCAAAACCCTATTTCTTTCAATGGGGCAGTCACATATTTTATATTACCCACATGTCTTCCAATTATTTGATGAGTTGGAGGATAGCTAGGTACACATGCTTCTCTACATATAATAAAATAGGTAATTTGATGTGTTCATAATCCTATTGTGATAACAATAAGAGGCTCAGTTCTATTTAAATTTTTTATTCCCTCTAGGGAGTTACTCGGGAGAAAGTAGACCTACTACATAAGAACTATATTGGCATTCAAACATCATATCTCATCTCCATTGAACATCCCCCCCCCTAATAAATTCTTTCACATATCTTGCAGACATATATTTGTATATTTTATGAAGTATCAATGCATAGAGATGATTCTAAATCAAGATTCTCATAGTCAAGTATTAAAAATATTAAATAATAAATGGATCTTTTGATAT